GGTGTCGGGTTTCGTATCAATAGAGGACAGAGTTGCAGAAAACTGGACTGTCCTCTGATGGCCATCCTAGACCTGGTGTTGGAAGTTTCTCTTCCCATCCTCATTACTATTTGGTGTGTATAGGGGCAAGGGTGTTCTTGTGGGCTCAATCATCCTATCATGTTCCTGACTAACTGGGAGCTCTGTCTGTGGCCTGTCAGGCCCTCAGTTTCTGCTGATAAGTGGTCTGATCTTCCCTCCATGATCAGTTGTCCTAAAGCCACATTTCACTCACAGCCAAGCCCTCACACCCTGACTACTCCGTGTGTGTGTGTGTATCACTGAAGCAGTTAAGTCATTGTCTCTAATTTTGGAGATGGGGTGCCATATAAAGCTGGTATGTGTGGGGGTGGCACACACTGTGCATGGAAACTGGGATTGCCCTCAGGGTTTCAACTGCTTTGCTGCATTTGCAGCCATAGAAGCTAAATCTGGCATAGAGGCACTGAAAGCTATATCATTGGGCAATTCTTTGAGTCCAGGCTCATACCAGATTCTATATCTCCTTCCTTTGCCTAGTACTGAGCATCCCTATTAGTGTAATTTTTAGTGTAGGGTTTCATTTTGAGGGGAAACATTAAAACAGTTAACACAAAAGTAAGGAAAACTGACAGTCCTTATTTTGATCCTACCGTTCAAATACTGCCAGAGCACGGGTTCAGGCAAGAGTTAGACAAAGCAATCCATTTGAAATTTCAAGCTACATTTCTAAAATATACAGAAAAAAGAGATTCATTTTTTCCACTGAGTGTTTTTCTTATGGCTCTTGTTGTGAAAAGATGGTCCAATACGATACATGACTTTGCTATTCAATAAGATGATAAAGTCCCAATAAAATTAGGCAATTGCTATTTTGTACAAAATAAAGCAGGATTGCTTTTATGTGGGGGGTATGTGTGTGTGTATGTTTAATTTTAAAGTTTCATATCTATAGGTCATATCCCTCATCACACCTCTTCTGGGTGTAATCTTTATCCATCTCTCAAGAAAAAGACTCTGACAACCTAAGCAGCAACATCCTACTCCTCAACCTCCTCTATCATAACGTTCTCCGCTCGTCTTTACTTCAAAACATTAGACAGGAATGAAAAAGGATTACATTTCCCTTCACAACTCCCTTTAGATGGCAGTCCCTTGACATATAAGTGGGATTTCCAAGGTTAAACATATCTTGTTAGTTGTGCATATATACAACACAGGGATTATCAAAGTAATTTGACTGCCAGTATTATCAGCTTCCATCAAGGAGATAAACAGCCCTTAAGAGTAATTTATCTGTGATCAGCTTCACTTGTTGGTAAGTGAAACGGTCTTGCTGAAACAGGTAGCTCTGGAGCTGCTCAGAAAATGCCCTTTTACCTCCTACCTCCAACCATCCCCTCAAATCTTGAGCCATCTTTTTAAATTGAGAAACAAAACAACGACAGATTTTGAGCAGCCAAAATCTTTGACTGAAAGCTGCCAAAAGCCAAAAATGTTTCGGCTGAGAGGTATCCAACTGAAAATTTCATTTTTCAAAGAAATGTTTCTTTTCTGTAAAAACAAAAAACAAAAAAACAAAACAAAAAAAAACAAAAAAACCCAAAAAACCAAAACAACCTCCCCCACCCCCCCAAAAAAAACCAGAAACGAAAAAAGCCTGTGGTTTTGTTGAAAACCCAATTGTCCATTGAATACATATTTAATGGAAAATTTCTGAACATCCTTCAGGTACCATGTTCCTCCCATTCAGGTATAGAGACAGGCTTTGTTAGGGGTTACCACATCTGAAAGAAGGAATCCCACAAGTATACAAATCCGAGGAAACAGTTTGAACTGTGATTTATGATCTTACTATTAATCTATATCTTCATAAATCCATGTCCTAGGGAAGGAATGAGTGGACAGTTTGTAATATGTAGCCTGTCTCTTACAGCAGGTTTGATAGGGCACCTGCTCATAGTTCTTCATATGAATTTGCAAGAAACAGTGGAGACTATAGTGGCTATAATATGTATAATCTAGACATTTGATACAATGCCACATAATAACCCAGGGGAATATTATTAAATCAAGATGGCATAAATGAAAAGATAATAAGCATCTCTGGCCTACTCCATTAAGTGTATGAGCATAGAAAAGATCATCAAAAGCTGTTGTTAGAGAGGGAGCAGCACTTAGGGGCCTCACAGGGTCTGATAGTTGTTCCCATTTTCATATTTTTGTTAATGATTTATTGGTAGATAGCAAAACGGAAGGTATTAAGTTAATAGATGGCCTTCTACCTGAAGAACAATAACCCTACACAGGACAAAAACAGGAGCACAGGCCAGATTTTGTTCTCATGTTCCTATGTGTTGCTCCTTCTGAAATGATAAAAACTGAAGTAATCTTTCTGCATCTGAGCATAGAGTTTATCTGTTAAGAGTCAACAACACTGGAAAAAGCTGTTTGTCTTAGGGAAAAAAAATACTGGACAGTAAGGGTGTGCGAAATGGGCTGTATTCAATTTGGATTCGGCCCAAATCGGGGACAGTGATTTGATTCGTCAATTCAGATCACTGTCCCAATTCGATTTGGCTGAATCTGAATCTGAGATGCTAATTCAGGGTCTCAGCGATTCAGTCATAGACACGGCTTTAAATGTTTTTTCTATATACCTCAAGGTACCAGGCGTGGCTCCTGAATGCTGCAATGGTGGGCCAGATGGTGCATCCCAAGGGAGTACTTCTGGTCCACTTCTGGGTCCACCGGGGAGCATGCTGGGGGGGCCCCCCATGCCCCCCCCAGCTCAGCGATTGGCTGTGGGGGGACCCCAGGTACTGCCTCCAGACCCAGGAGGCACCAGTCACTGAGCAGGGGGGCACAGGGAGTCCCCCAGCATGCTCCCCGGTGGACCCAGAAGTGGACCGGAAGTGCTTCTGGTCCATTTCTAGGTCTGCTGTTGAGCGCGCGGGGGACCCGCACGGGGGACACCCCCGCCCCCCCCCGTGCTCCTATGAGATGCTCCATCCGCCTCATCATTGCAGCATTCACGAGTTGCCTGGTACCTTGAGGTTTGTAGAAAAAGCATTTAAAGCTGTGTCTATGTCCAAATTGCTGAATCTTTCCGAATCTCTCTCAATCGATTCAGAGGGCTCTGATTCAATTCGGAGAGATTAAAGGGTCTTCTGATTTGATTTTGATTTTGATTTGGAGATTCAGGCACTGAATCAGGCCGAATCTCCACCAATCAAATCAGCGACCGAAGTGCCCTGTTAAAAGGAACTAGTAGCAACACTTACGTTTAGTTTGTCAAGCATTTTCTGTTGCAAGAGAAACTTGTGAGTTGTTTCTTGAGAAACTCTCCCACTTCCACAGTTTGCAGCAATCCTTTAATAATTCAGCAGAGGTAGGACCCTCGGGCTACAGAAGTGCCTTTTCTATGTTGCCAAAAAAATCCTTTTGCTGAACTATATTCTGTTAAAATTGTTGTTTCTTGTCTTTCATTCATTTTCCCTCAGGAAAGTTGTGGCTGTCTGCCAGAACAATAACCACATTCCCAAACAGCCTGAGCTGGGCTGCCATAAGCAGAGTAGCAGGAGGAACAAATATTGTATTGGAAATGCCTAGGATTTGCAACAGCAGTTGTAGTGGGTAAGAAAGAGGCTAAGTTCATATAGCTCCCAGGGAGAGTGCTCTGTTGTGGAGGAACCTGGATTAAGTGCCTTCCAAGACCCAGTGAAGTATTGCAACCCCAATAGCATACCTACCAGAGCCTGCCTTGTAGGTGGAAGTGGCAGCAGTGGTTACTCCCACTAGGGGCCAGGCCAGTTGTGGCAGTGGCAGCAGCAGTGATGGTATCTGGGGTGGCAGTGGTGGTAGCTGCCATTTTTGCATGCCCCTCTAAGTGGGCACCTGGGACTGGCGCTTGAGTCCCTCACCCCTCATTACACTATTGTGGAGCCCAGGAAAGTTTAGGCAGGGAAAATATGGGTGATATATGAATTAATGTGTGCAGCCCTGTAACAGCACATGACTATGTGGTGAAGCCCAAGGTACTTACAAATAAGCCAGTTAATTTTATACAGAGTAAATAGACTGATCTGTGGTCCTTGTACTACTACAAACTGGAAAATGGTATACCAGGTTATAGCTGTATCTGGCGAGTCAAGTGATGACAAAGTTGACTTGGACATGACTTAAACTATATCCTCAGTCAAAAGAGGGATGTTGATGCCATCTAAATCCTCAGAGGATCTACAGCCTTGCAGATCACAAACATCTAGGAGCTATTTCTGTGTGTATTTTTATAACTCTTACAAGAATTAATGTGAAAGAAAACTCAACATTAAGAAAAACTGGTTCATTTTTTACCTTTGTACTTCTCTTCTCTTGGATTTTTTTTTTAATTTTGAAAATCAGAAGTGAGTAAACAAAACACTTAGTTATTCTGGGAAGTGGTTAATTTAGAAAGAGGCAAGAAAATTCTCCGAACAGTAGAACACAATATTATATACTGTCATCTTCTGTTTTTCTTGACCAGATTAATATTTGTAATCTTAGAAATGCTGTGTATGGCATACCTCACCCCTGTGTTAGTTTGTGGTCCATTACAGGTTTACGGTCTATGATTGGCATGAGTACCTCCCTTAGCTCAGGTAGTAATATGGGTTTAGAATATGCTATGGAGCTGAAGGTCCCAAATTGCTACTCTCCTGGAGACTATTTGGAGAATTAGATCATATGGATGCATGCCTTGTATAACAACAGCTTATGTACATGGTTCTGCTCCTCTTGTCAGAGTCAGCTGAGCTAAAATGTGTCTCACTTGAGGTGTGCCAGTCTAGGGTAAGCTGGTTTACATATTTCTAGATTGTAACCCATACTTTTCAAAAATTGTGAATTGTGAGCATTTTCCTTGAACCAGTGGTTCCTTATCAGTTGAGAACTACCTGAGCAGTTCCCACTGAAATTACATACTGTTTTTTATTTCTCAATAGATGAGGAAAAAGAAAACAACAGAGCATCCAAACCACACTCTACTCCAGCTACTCTGCAATGGTAAGATTCCTGTTTCTCAAACCCCTGTTAATCCCTAAAATTTTCCACTTCATTTTTCCATAGTTAAAGTGTGTGTGTTGTGGGGAGGGGGTGTGGCTATACACTGAAAAGTTCTGATCCATTTTGGAGAGAGGCATTTTCCAGTTTCTGATCCACTTCTGGTAGATTGCCACTTAACCAATAAAGATGGATTTTTTACATTTAATTTTTTTTTAAATAAAGAGAAATAAATACCAAATCCAGGCCCTGATTCAGCAAAACACTGATGCACATTCTTTAGTCCATTCCTGTTGACTACTTTGTTGAAATGTGTCCCAGCAATTTAAGGCAGAGGCAGAATAAGAGCTAGGCTGGTCCGTGCCTGACTCATTAGTTTTTCCTTGTCATAATCCCATGGGAAGGGAGACAGGAAGGGAAGAGAGATGGGGTAGATGCAGAGTTGAAAGCAGGCAGGTCTACCAGAACATTGTTGTGTCCCCCACTGTGAATAAGTAAGTAGTGCTCTACCTATTCACTCTTACTGACTGCAGCACTTGCACTTATGTAATGGCACGAACTACACAGTCTTCAATCCACTGTTTCTGTAGCTCACTTCTTTTGCTTTGGTTACTTTTGTTAGTTGGTTTCAAAGGGAGTTGAGGGTACAAAGCACCTTGTAGGAGGTGCTCTGGACCTGGCTGTCTGGAACTCTGATCTATAGCCATCTGAGGTTCAAGGTCAGGGGGCTTTGGTTCAGACACTGTTGGAAATCAGTGTTCCTTGGCTTGTTTTAATACTTATAAAGAAAATACATTGAGAGGCTATTGTTCTCTCCACTCTACTTCAGCTATAAGTGCTTTTCAATTTGGCAGGTGAAAAATGGGTTAACATACAATGTCAGTCTTAGCAGTGTGTTAGAATACTTCTCTGTCTACATCAGTCTCCTGAAACCAGTTTCATTAAGGGGACAGGAAGTAGAGGAGCCAGTTTTCCTAACATGGACGCCCATTAGACTTTTAGGTTGGCATTCAGGCACTCAAGTGCCCATTTTTGGCAAATGCTAATCTAAGCCTGCAGCTGCAACACTTGGGAGTTTTACTTTGGCCATCTGAGTATGAAAATTGGCTTGATGGTTTACTTCCAGCATCCTTTGGTGTGGACCTGACTGAATTCAAAGAATAATCTATCCAACATATTTGGATTTTTTTCTTCATGTGAAATATTCCCAAACAGAATGCAATACCTTTACCATTATTTCTTCTTTTAAGTTAAACCAGTTATTTTGTGTACATCTATAAATTGATCTAGAATAACATGTGTGTAGTTAGTGCCCCGACTGGATGAGCTTGCAAACACTTCTGATACAAATGCTCACACTTACAAATTTAAATGAATGCACTTGACTTGGCTTTCTGCAGATATTTGTGCCAGAGTAAAATTCAGTCTCCCAAATGTTTGTAGTGAGGGAATGAAAAAGGAGAGACAACATAGCCTGAGACATTAAATAAAAATTATAGTGAGTGTTCATGAATTTAGTATCATTCACCCAGTCTACTTCAGTGTAATGCAAACAGGATAATGTACAACAGTCTATCTGAAATAAAATAGCAGACCGTGCTTAGCAAGTCACAGATTCAGGACAATGTTTATTTTGTGATAGTGCCAGTTAGGAGCCTTTTTCCCAAAGGAGAATATAACATAGTAGCCAAGAAGTCAGAACTAATTAGAACACATGCCAGTGATACTGTTCCCAAAAGAAAACATGCAAATACTGTAAACAGTCTTCTGCCAAATACTTTCAAGCTTCCTCAGTCATAAAGGTTAGTAAATCCCTAAACTCCTGGGATATAGAGCTCTGCTGGAATGCAGTCTAAACAATAATGCCCATTCAGCAGCGTTCACCATAGAATCCTAGAATTTAGAAATGAAAAAGGCTTATTACATCACTCAGTCTGTCCCCCTTGCCAGTGCATCTGCTTCCTGCTACCTACACGTTGCATTATGTTTCCTCCATATTTATGTAGCGCACACATTTTCCCTTTGACTCTTGGAGCACGTGATTCCCTCTACTCAATACTCCCCTCGAAAAATATGTGAAGAAACAGAAATAGACAAAGCAACTTTTTCTGTTTTCCAAAAGTGATTTTTTTTTCCCCTGGCACAACACAGAACAATTTAGTTTGCTTATATATTGATGCCCCCTTGTATCAGAGCTTTACAGTTCAGCAGCTGTCATACAATAGTAGTTTGGTGTTTTTCTGTTGTCTTGGACTACAGCCTTAAATGCTTTTCGTCTTAGTGGGGTAGCTGGACTAGTGGAATAGACTGCATAAAATCACACCTTCTTGAGCAGAGGGTTGTGAAGTCCTAAACTTGCATGCTGCAATGATATCAATGTATACTGTTTTAAGAAGTTCTAAGTATTGTGGTAATACCCAGAAGCTCTAGTCATGGACCAGGACCCCATTTTTCTACCTGCCCTGCAACCCCAGAACAAATCCCATCCACTAATTTAGCTGCCTGCAGTTATTTGTCAGCTTTTGCCTGCCTGTGTCTTGGGCTTTGCCATTCTGCAGCAGTATTCTGCCTGGCAGAGCTCAGTGTAAACCTGGGCCACTCCCCCCTGGCTAGATTGAAGAGCGAGATAAATGGTGATACACATTTTTCATCAGGTGTCAGGGGTACATTATTGTGTGGCATCATATTCGCATGGATATTACAGCTGGGAGGACCACTGTGAGCTCTGCTGTCTGGCAGTGCTTGACAGAGTAAAGCTGGATCTATTCTGATGTGAGATAGTAATATTAGCTATCATATGTAATGAAGGAGAATGAGTGGTGGAGGAGAAAGGCAGGAGAAAGGAAAGAGAAGAATGCAAATGTATCAGAGGTAGCTGTGTTGCCAGCTCTTTCAACTCCTGGGGCAGAGGTGGGGAGGGGGAAGAGGGAATTAAACTGACCAGTGAAGGGGAGGGCAGGAAGAGGGGTAAGAGGGAATTATGCTGACCAGTGAAGGGGAGGGCAGGAAGAGGGGAGGGGAAGAGGAGTCTTACCTTCCCAGCTCTCCTTCAGTGGCAGCTGCTAGTGCTCTGGCTGCTGTTGCAGCAGCATGGGCTTGGGCTGCTGTCCCTGAGGGACGGGTAACAGCATGGGTTTCCTGAGGGATGCTTCTGGTGCCCTGTTGGCTCCTTCCTCGCCCCCCCCCCAGTACAGGGCTCTGCCTCCTGTGGCAGAGCTTGGGGGGGGGCGGGACTCATTCCAACCCTTCTGCCCCAGATACACTACTAAGCATGGGGCTGGGGCTGCCCAACTGTTGTGGCTGGGCAGTGCAGGACTGTGCATACTGTGGCAAAGACTCTGGAAGGGAGGGGGCCATACTAGTGCCCCTTCTCAGTTGGGCACACATCCTCCCGCTTAGTTATGTTTCTGGACAGAGGACAGAAAGAAAGATAGAATGGAAATGTGTGAACTGCATTGTATGGTTTGTTTTTCCTCCATATTTGCATGTTGTAAAAGAATAGAAAACATACAGGATACATGGGTTTGTCTGTGGCAAAGATCAGGCCCCTGGCATTTAATGGGGGTAGAGGCCCAGTTCTCCAGAGGCAATATCATTCAAACAATAGATACAGGAAGGAAAGGATGCCAAAGGAGTTTTCAGTGACTGGCAGCCTGGCTTGTCAGTCTTTTTCTAGAAATATTTTTTCTTCATTTTGTTGATGACAAAAAGGAGAATGCAAGGCTTTAGAAATATTGTGCTACAGCACACCAGAGCACACGAGAACATGTAAGAAGATTTAATCAGAAATTAATCTTATTTTAATGATATGAACATAAGAATATTCAGTATCCTTTGGTAGTCTATGTTTCTGTATGCCTTATCTATTACCTGAAAACTTGCTTTCTGCTAGACCCATTGTTGTCAAAATAGTCTTGATTCTCTCTCAATTACTTAACCCAATAAAAAGTTGGAAACTAAGACTTCTGTCGAGTTGCATTTTTTGTCTTTCTGTCTTGCTTTTTAGTCTGCAAATTCTTTAGGACAGAGGTTGCCGTCTCTTGCTTTTGTGTACAGAGGCTGACTGACATAATGGGTGTTACCAGAGTACAAATAAATAACAGCATGCTGAATTAAGGTCAGCTAATTTTTATATTCTACAAGGTCCATAAAGACAGCCAGAAAGAGGAAACTGAGAAAGTTTATCAGAATAGATCTTTTTAGTCTTAATATAGGCATTCTGATTGCATCACACGCAACTTAATCCTTTATGTAATTCAGAATAGTAAATAGCAATATTCTGTTGCCTCAAAGTTTTAAAAAATAAATTCTGTAATAGTTAACATTTATGGGCATGATTCAGGTGCAGAATTGTCCCTTCTAATCTAGAAGTGTGTAAGTATAAGGAGGAAAACAGTAATAAGGGCAGATAAAATTCTTTCCTGAAAAAATGATTAGGGTTTTTATTGTAATACTATGAGTAGTACAAAAGCTTTCATTGTGAACTACTGGATTTCACATAGCTTTATTAGGACGCTTTTAAAAAGTATATATATTATTTCTGATAATGATTTGTTAGGTAGCAGACTGAGTTCATTATCTTTCCACAATACTGTAGGGTGAAGCTGAATTCAAAATATGATAAAGTTGTTAAATAAAAGACAGGAAAATAAAAGAAATAGAGCAAGATGGGTTTTTTGATCATTAAAAAAAAAGTTCAGGTATAATGGAGCATTGTTCAGTATCAGACTAATGACTCTCTGTGAAAGAGAAGAGAAAAAGAGAAAAATTCATCAGATATGAACAGAAATAATTAACTACTTTTCTTTCACTCTTGCCTTGGTCAGGAAACCTGACATTCCAATTAGCAGCTATGGTATACAAACGAACTCTCTGGGTTTTGAAAAGAGGTTTTGTTAAAGGTCTATGAATTTAGGGAAAG